TTTCCTTCAAGAGACTGTTAAGGTATTGAATGACTTATGCAACAAACAAAATGTGAGGTTTATGATGACAGAACCCTGTGGTTTGACCCTGATAATGATAATGTTGGATCATAGGGGGTGATCAGTGAATTCAGTATTCCCAAAGGTGAAAATCCTAAGTTGGAGAAATATCAGTTCCCCTGGCTATATACAAATGGGTTGCTGGCAGTCATTTTCTCATTTGGGGTTTTGTTCACCGCCCTAAAGACACGAAAGGCAAGATCATGGTGTTATGGAACAGGTACATCAACCAACTAACCGACTGGGATTGACTGATTTGATAGTTTCACTACAAATTCTGTCGTGGATTTAATTTATGTTCCTTTTTCTAAAAAAAAATCTTATATTTAACGGCTCTGGTTTCAGGTTGGCTTCGAGGGTTTATTGCAGACTATGGGGTTCCACTAATGGTCTTGTGTTGGACAGCACTATCTTACACAATACCTGGAAAAGTTGATTCTGGAGTTCCCAGGAGGCTGTTCTGTCCACTTCTATGGGAACCTGCATCATTGCATCATTGGACAGTGATAAAGGTAGGTTGTGAATTTAGTAATTTGTTTGTTCCCTTTTCAGAGATCTTATGTTTTTTTATATCTTATAATTTGACTGTCTCTAAAATCTATAACCATAAGCTAGAATCTAGGAGGATTTTGTTGAGGATTTAGAGTATTTGTTCAAAGCATACCTGATTTTTCTAATTATTTGAGACTAAAGATAAATTTGTACTTAATCATATCTCTTAATACAGGATATGGGGAAAGTTCCAATAGAGTACATCCTTGCAGCCTTTATACCAGCATTGATGATAGCAGGCCTATACTTCTTCGATCACAGTGTCGCTTCACAGATGGCACAACAAAAGGAGTTTAACCTTAAAAAGCCCTCTGCTTACCATTATGATATCTTGTTGCTAGGAGTTATGGTACTTGACTGATGCTTCCAACCTACTCTCTCTCTGTCCTCCCCACCTCCCCCAACAAGTTATATGTTCAAATCTATATTTCCAACTATTTTAGGCTTAAATGCTTCTTGCCAATCATGGTTTCAGACTTTGATTTGTGGCTTGCTAGGACTCCCTCCTTCAAATGGGGTCCTTCCACAATCTCCCATGCACACTAAGAGCCTTGCAGTTCTCAAGAAGCAGGTGGGATGCTGTACTTTTTTAAACTATTCCCTTAATTTTTATATAATTCCCATTAATGTGGAATCTTAGACTATATAACCCATGAATTGCAGTTGATTCGGAAAAAAATGGTCAAAAGTGCCAAGGAGGGCATGTTGCAACAGGCAAGCAACTCAGAAATTTACGGAAGGATGCAAGCTGTGTTTATAGAAATGGATGCATCTCCTGCTGTAAGTATTTTAGGCTTACACTACTGCTTATACTATTTACTCTCTATGCATGCATGAAGGCATACTTGATTGCAAGATTCACTGAACATAATATGGATATTATCGCAGCTTATGTCAGTAGATAAAGAGCTGAAGAACTTGAAAGAGGCTGTGATGAAAGGTGATGATGGGCAGGATGCAAAAGGAAAATTTGATCCTGTGAAACATATTGATGCTTATTTGCCTGTCAGAGTTAATGAGCAAAGAATGAGCAACCTGTTACAATCAGTACTTGTGGGACTCTCAATGTGTGCTCTGCCTGTAATAAAAAAGATACCTACCTCTGTACTCTGGGGATACTTTGCCTACATGGCCATTGACAGCCTTCCAGGGAACCAGTTCTGGGAAAGGATATTGTTGCTTTTCATCACTCCTAGTAGGCGTTACAAGTAAGTCACTGTACCTTAAAAATAACATAAATACAACACAGGCATTTTATGAAATGATACGTGGTGATACAGCTAATTTTATGGAGGTTTGGGAAATTTCCATAATTTAAAATATTTCTAGTTTCTTTAAGTTGCAACTTAGGCAGACTATCTTGCAGGAAAGAGGACTAATCTATTATCTCTTCTGAACTACAACAAATTAAGCCTTTCCCTACAAAATGGGGTTGGCTATACTGATCGTATTGTGTCCTTTTTCTCTATTTAGGACCATATTTACAGTAAGCTCATAGCACTAGACCTGTCCACAGGCTGGGCCCCGGACAAGATTTTTGAGGCTTGGGTCAGGCCCAGATCAGTCCGAGATATTATTATATTTATTATTATTTAATTTTAATACTGAAATATTTTTAAAAATATTGAAATGTTAATATAAAAATCTTTTAAAATATTTTAATATTAAATATAATTTAAATAGTTGGGCCAAGCTGGGCTCGAACCTAGGTTTAAGAGTGTCAACTGGGCCCAGCCTGATCAATGGACACCTGTATATAGTATTGAAGTCCTTTTTATTGTTCTTCTTGTGCAGTGTAATAAAAAATTTTTAAACACAGCCTCAAATGTTTTAAGTGTGTTTACATGGGTAATACATTGATGTGGTGTATAAAAGGTGTAGTCTAACTTTGATAACTAACTGAATGTGACGGTTGATGTGGTTTTGCATCTTATATCTTTGTAGCAGTGCTGTAATTAAAAGTTTATGCTTTCTGTCATTAACTCTTCTTATCGGTGGCATTTGGTTGAACAGAGTCCTGGAAGGTGTTCATGCATCATTTGTGGAGTCGGTACCTTTCAAGTCCATTTTGCTGTTTACGCTCTTCCAATTTGTATATTTTCTAGTATGTTTTGGGGTGACATGGATACCTATAGCTGGAATACTGTTTCCACTGCCGTTCTTCCTTCTCATCAGCATCAGGCAGCACATCCTTCCAAAGTTTTTCCATCCCGATCATCTTAGGGAACTAGATGCCGCTGAGTATGAAGAAATTGCTGGTACACCACGAAGAAGCTTAAGTATTTCAGTCAAGGTACATCTTATTTGGGTCCTTCCCCTTAATTTTCATTTTGTGCTTTTAGAATTAGACCACTTTTTCATTTGGTAGTAGTCATTACACTAATAATGAGAAAATAAGTTCTACTGTAAGTAGAGCACTAATATTCCTGACCTGTAGTTCGGTTTTTACTTTTGATCATTTGAACCTGCTACAAGTTTTTTTTTTTTTTCATTGTTGATTTCTTTTGGGAATTTAATCAGTCTATAGCTACTGACAAGTTATTTGGACTACTTGATAACTTTTTTCCTTTCCTGGCATAGTTTCAGCTATGTTGACACATTTTATGCTTTTTAATCCTGTGGGGAAATTAATGTTTGGTTTTCACCTGTCAAACTAACTGGAAAGAGTTTCCTCTTCGTAATTGAAAATTTTCTGTGTTTTAGCATAGATGATACAATCTTCCTTTTGTGCTCTAGCCAGTTCAAAATATAAGTGTTCCTTTGATTTTAATGGCGTTATACTTCTTTCTTCTCTATATGCACTTAAATTCACAGAAAATATTGTGTAAACAGGAAGGGGAACGACCTGATTCCAGCAGCGAAGGGACTGACGATGACTTTTATGATGCTGAGATATTGGATGAGATGACAACCAACAGAGGAGAGTTGAAGCTTAGAACTGTAAGCTTTAAGGAAGAAAGGTTATACCAGGTATATCTTGAAATTTCCTTTTTGTGCTGTGCTATTTTATTACCAGATTATAGTTTATTTATCCTTATGCTTGAATATGGCATGGTTTACAGGTTCATCCAGAAGGAAGTGCCTGAGCTCATCTGGAACAACATTAATATTCAGTGTATGATGGCCTGGTATGATGAGGATTGCTAGTCTTGATTATAATCCTGCGCCTGATTGAAGAAACAATCACGGTCCTAACAAAGAAAGTCTGAGAATGTTGCCTTGTATAGCCAGTTAATCACCCAGAAAAATCCTGAAAAAAAAATTGACAGAAAGAAATTCAACTGTTCTCTGGTGAGAGGAAGAAATAGAGGAATGGAAGCATTGAACTGTATTTTCACCCCTTCTTTGGTTTTCAATTTTTCAATCCTTAAAAATTAGTCATATCTGCTAGAATATTAACAGTGAGGATTGAGGTCAAATTGCCCTTCAGTCATTGCTCTTTTTTTAGGCTAAGGAGATGGGGGAAAGGGGAGGAGGGACAGATTCTTTTCGTTGCTAAATAGATGAGGGGATGCCATGCTTTTCATGTTAAAAATTGGAATGGCCAATTCTTTCATTTGTTTTACTTTAGTAGAATTATTTTGAACTAGTCATAGTTTGTCCAGACTAACATACTCTTATTGAATCATGAATATAGCTTAATTTGTTGAGCTCTATCCGTTTACAGTATTCTCATTTGTTCATGCTTTTTCCATTGTCTTTCAACTTTCAAGACCAACAGCAAGGCAGAAGAGAATGTGCTGGATAATATTGAATTGTGCACACTATTGTTTCTTAGAATCAGTAATGCTAGAAACATAACTTTTACTAACATTTGCACCCAGATCTTTTTATTAAGAAAATTAAAAAAAAAAAAAACCATCATTTGTTTCTAATGCCATCAGCATCTGCACTAACAAAACACAAATCCATCATAAGACTTCACTTCAACAAGGAACTATGCAAGACCTGGAAAAGGAAAGTTTTATGATGTCTAAGCCTCATGGAAATTCACCAAATTTTTGAGCTTATCCTTGCTGCAAACAAATTTCTCTAAACAAATAAGAAATTTGTTTCTTTGCACTAGTTATAAATTATAAATTAACTCTACTAATTATATTTATTTCAGTCTTAACTTAAATCACATGGAAAGTTTATCAATTACCAAAAACAATCATAAGTTTAGAATACAAAAAAAGAAAAAAAATCAATTGAACTAGTACTTATATAGTTATTATTTATTAGTTTTTGTCTATCTGAATCCTTATATAAGTTCAATTAATTTTTTATTACTTTCACTTAATACTTTATATTGATAAAATGGTAAATTATTGTACCAAGAATTTATACCATTTTTTTCTTTCCTCAGTTTCACTCTCCTTGCCCCTGATAATATATAGGAACCCAGATTGGGAAAATGAAAAAAAAAAGACTGTCCTTTTTTTTTTTTTTCACTATGAGGAATCAGCTATATGGACAAAGATATATGGAAAAGAATCATTTCCAAAGCTTAAATTCCTTTAATGGTAATACAGTAAGACATGAGAAAAGGATAAGTTTAGATGCCACCATAGGTGCTGGATGCACTGCTTTGAATTGAACCTTTAATATACTGGCTTGTTGGAATTTCATATTCAGCACTTACAAGAACAAGATGATCACCATCTCTGATAAGCTCTATATCATCAATTTCAGCACCTACTTCTGTCATAACTCTAGTTAGGGAGAAGCCAAATCTTTGGGCACCAATATCCAGAAGTTCTTCCAAGGACTTTGGCAAAAGAATGAGCTTACTGGGAACTTTACTTCTTTCAGGGCAACTGATTGTGACTCTAGCCGAATAGTTGCTTAAAGGTGACAAAGCTGGAAAACCTGCTGCTGAAGGACTTTCACCTGCATAGTTAAACTTCAGTTTCAACAGCTTTTACCCGATATAAACAGATAGTAATTAAACTGCTAAAAGGTTTTGCCAAGTAGATACTTGATAAAATAAATTTTCTTCCCTAAAGAATAGTATTAACTAGAGTCAATATAACAGGAAACTGAGATGCATGCTCACCAGCATTGGCAGCTGATATTATACCAAATAGTGAATTGTGGAAAGTGTTTGCTTTTCGCCTTCGACGGTTGTCCATCCATGTCACCTCTGGAACTGGTGGCACAACTTCAGAAATATATGAAGATATTGTAGGCTCGCTGCTGTATTTGGCAATGGTCTTCCCATGTGAGGCTACTTTCTTCTTTGGAATTGTGACAACTGATAATTTCTTGACCTCTGGTTGGTTTTGCAATAATGCCAATATCTCTTCATGGCCCTGATGATCTGCCAAAGCCCTTGCTGTCCATCCATGGGAGTCTTTCACATCGATATCAGCTCCTTGCTCTAATAGGAACCTAACCATTTCAATGTTTCCTTCACAAATTGCAGCATGGATTGGTGCAGTTCCGTTGCTCTTGGCCTGGTTTACATCCCCTCCATACTTGACAATGTCCTTAAGTGAATCTAACCTGTTTTGTTCAACAGCAGAGCAAGCAAACTGACCCACATCACCAGAAGATAACGTTGCACCATTATCTATCAGAAGTTGAATCACAGATTCATGCTTCCCCATTATTGCTTCCCACAATGGAACATTCCCTTCGGCATCTGCATAAGCAAAAGTAACTCTAGTTTAAGGAGGAACATATGAAGAGAGATTGAAACAGGAAAAAGCAATACCATCAATAATACTGTACATAATGGAAGAAAAAATTCTGTTATAATGTAATAAATTTCAGAACAAGTCTTAACTTTACAAAAATGTAGTTGATAGTAAATATTTAGAAATGTATTCAATAAGAATAGTTCAGGCCTTCAGGGGAACGTGACAGTATGAAAGCCAAATAACCCATAAAAAGGAGAAAAAGAAAATGCAACAATGAGTCTAGTATCTTCTTTAGAGTAATTCTCTTGGTAAAAGCAAATTAGTGGATATTTTTTATTTTCAAGGGAAGGCATTCTTGTTGAAAAGGAGATAACAAAAAGTTAAATCTAGTTCTCCAATTTCACAAGTATAATTTTGTAAAGTATGAAATTAACTGCCCTGGAAAGAAAATAGGGTGCACATATAGAAGAATCAACAAGAAGTGAAGGAGAAAATAAGAAACCAAAAGAATATCAGAGAGTAAATGATACCTATAATGTTAGGATCTGCTCCATACTCTAGAAGCATAACTATACAATGCTCACTTCCATTGGATGCCGTGATATGCTGTTTGTTAGAAACCTACAGAAGGTTAAAGGACATATAAAAGATACCCAACACACACACATATAAAGGGGGAGGCATACATACCAGTGCTGTTCGCCCATTATTGTCCTGCTCATTTGGATCTGAACCACGTTTCAGCAACTGCTGCAGCAATAAGTCATCTCTTCTGGCTGCTGCAAAGCATAAACTAAGAGGCAAATCCATTCTACCTCTTGCTAACATGTGCTCCGTCTCATGCAAAATTGCTTCCATCACTGGATCATTGGACTCCTTCAGATGCTGCATCACCAAGATTAAGTGAATCAGTTAGCGGATTTCTCCCACAGATTTTCTTTTACCACAAGTCTTATTCTTTTTGGTTCATAAGATTTATTTAATAATGTGAATTGTTTGCATTAAGCACAAACTTGAGGAAGAGGGGCATAATAACAGTATTAGACGAGGGCAACATATATATATATATATATATATATCTCACTAAAGGACTATAAAGATCACATGGATGTTTAGAACTTGGCTAATTACAATTTGAACAATAGACAACAAAATTTGATGTATGCTTCACGTGAATATTCCCAAATAGAATCTAATATTATATTCATAGATACATGAGCAGATGAAAATGTTTATGCTAAAAGGAAACTTGATGTATGTCTGAACTCCCACATACATCCTTTGGTAAACTTTTCATGGATATACCAAATGCAAAAAGAAATTCAAATGTGAACCATCAAGTAACAAATTTGATGTTACGTCGGTCGGTCTGTTTGAGCACGGTGTGGTAATTGGTCATAAAGATAAAAGATATTATTTATCTGACTTCTGAGTCCAGACTATATAGAAGGTTGAATGCAAGAATTTTATCCATATAAACAAAGAACTGTAACATTATACCACCAAAAACCTTTTGAAGTAGTAATAGTTTTTCAAATAGCAGTCTGAATATTCCAACTAATAATGAAGATTTTGCATACAGTAGTAGTCATTGTCTCATGCAAACAATTTCAGTGAGATAGGAATCTTCTGATAATAAATGGCTCTACACTTAACAATTCAACAATGAAGAAATACAAAGAAATAGCCTAAGCGAGATTTGGTCAGTCAAAAAAACAGACAAGAACCTGAAGAAGATTGTTCATGATTATTGTCCCATCTCCAACATTTGCCTGAACAATATTTAAAAATTCATTGCGGTTCAAACGAAGCAGCTGACTCAATCGTTTGGTCCGAACTGTAAACAATTGTGGCCTGTAACAAAGCACTCCTATCTCACCAACAACATCTCCAGTGGTTCCCTCGTCAATAACCTGCAATGATCCATTGCAATACAAAATATGTTAATAAGAGGCAAGCGCTTTTATGTGATCTGGTGAAAATTATTTGCATGGTAAACTTGCCAGTTCCGCTCCATTTCTTTGCACAATCAGTTCCTGTCAAGCACGCATACAAGTCAGAAGCTAAATTTCTCACAGAGAAAACAAAATCTTTTAACTTTTTCTGTGAACACGGTCAAACATTCACCTTCACCATTTCTCTTTAAGAAACAAAAAGTGGGGGGGAATCTTCTTTAATAGTTGATCCTAGCCCTATTTACAGTAACACTGGATAGACACTAATTTCCTGCATTCGGATACCAATGTACACACACAAGAAATGAAGCAAAAGATGGAGGAGGCGGGGAGGAGGGAGTTCTTACCACAGCACCAGTCACCAATATGTACATTTCTGTAGGCCCTTCATTCTGTAAAATCACATCTTCATTAGGAGGATAATACTCGGCTTTCATCTCCGAGACCTTCAAAATACAACAATTTAAGACAAGTCAAAATAAACTCATCTTTATTTACACATAGAATTGGTTGGTACTTGGATATAGAGTAATTTAAATTTTTCTGTATGTTGCAGCGAGTAAATTCTTCTTAAATTGTGGATAGAACAACATTACTATTTTCTTATTCATGGCCAGAAGCTATCTTTTTAGAACAGGATAGGTCTTTCAACAGTTGATTAAACACTACAAACAAAGATAAAGCATTGATAGTAGATTTACCAGTTGGAAAAGTAAATCGTTTGATACTCCACGGAACAAGTACACCTGATCAACCAGTGAATAGAACAGAAAGTGTGCAATGCTTGATCTAATAGCTTTAGGAAGGGCATCAATAGTCTCTTGCTGCTGCACCCCTTCAGAATCAGTTCGGTACCTCAAAGACAAATGATCAAGCATCTGATCTTGCAGGCGAACTGGGAGTTGATTCCTTTGGGCAAAATTTGAGGCAGCTTGGATGTTTTCTCTCTGGAAAGGGCCCAAAAATGATATACTCAAAATCACTCTAATTGATCCGCTGAGACAAAGACACATGCAGAAATACACCATGACTCATTAATTAAATATATTGCTTATAGAAGCTTGAGAACTTGAAAACAATGCTTGAGGTGTTCTAAAGATTCTAGAGCAACTTATGTTGCCTATTGAAAGTGGCAATCAACAGAGTACATTTATAATACAATTAATCCAGATTAGTTGGTGAAATCATTCATATGAAGCAGATTAGTTGGTGATAACGCTAAACTTGTTCAAGGTAGTCTAATCAAAACCTTTAAGCATATACAGCTAACCAACAGTTTCCACTCTGGAAGGACTGAAAGAAGCTTAAATCTGTTCTGCTTAAGCAAATGGTGTGTTGAACAATTTCATATACACAAAGTTGCAAAACAGAAATGAGGAACAATTTGCAAATGTATTCCAGAGATAGCTGAATTCAGTGCTTAGAGAAAGTAAACTGGTCCTAGCTAGAAACGTTATCCAGAAAGGAAGTGCCCCCTCCTAGTTGAAAATGATCATTCAAACAATGAAGAAATCCCAGTTGAATGATCCTCTAGAAATGTTAAGAATTCTAAAATTGGCACAAAATAAGACAATAGAATTTACTCACAAATTTTCTAGTTCGACTTGCTCCATGGACAATCAAGTTGGTCATATTTCCCACTAGGTATGCTTGCAGTCCAAGATTAAAGAGCAAGTAGAATATGTCGAATGCCATCTCCTTTGAATTCACTGGATGCAGATCACCATAACCAGTGGTTGTAAGAGTGACTATGGACCAGTAAAATGATGTTATATACCGGTCCTGTAACGGCAGTTGCTTCCAGTCCTCTTCGTAAAGATGCATCCATGCCCTCCCCGGGTTATGATATTGAGCAGCCATATAGTAGAAGATACAACCAGCAAAATGAGCAGCAAAGAGAGTAACCTGCATTGGACATCAGGAGCCTGGTGACACACATCATATTGAAGAATGAAGAATCTCCTCTCTTACAAGTATTACAATGTTTCTCTCTTCTAAGAAATACTCACGCAGAGCAGCTTGAGGCATCGAACCCAAAAATAGCTATAGTTCTTATCTTTCTCCAACCTAAAACAAAGGAATAAGGTTGCTGATGTTAGTGAATAAAAACTATTGTTCCAACCCTCACCTAATCAATTTTTTGGTTGAGCAGTTCTTGACATAGAACCAAGGTCTCCTTGACAAAGTGGTCTAGTTTTCAAATATCGACTACCTTTTAGTTCTGTTAAATGTTAGCAAATTTTAGTGCAAATATTAGTGGGCTTGTGTTTTGTCATCGCTTTTAGGTCAACGACTTGCATGTGAAGCCATTACTAACAGCTAAAACTTTTCTGCTGAATACTTTTTCGCAAGATATATACAAATCGGACATCTCTTTGCATAAACTAATGGGTCGGGAAGTCCTTTATGTGTATTCATAATTCACTTATACCTAACTATGAGATTAATCACACCCCGTGAAGTGAACTTCAATTCACTCTCAAGTCATTAGGAAATTTTAACTTCGAGCAAATGAGATGATGATAAAACAAAGTTACCTGGAAAATAATTGACTGACTCTACGAAGACGCCAGAGACGTAGCAAGGTAAGTAGACCGTATGATGGAAACTGGTGGGGCAATATATCCCGAGCAATTTCAGCAGGGACGATGGAGATGACATCAAAAAGCAACCAGGTACGTGCGTATCTCCAAGCAATCTCTTTGGGCTCATCCACCAGTAGATACGAGGTTTTGTCAAGGTATGCTACAAAGAAGGTCAATACAATGTCGATGGCAAAAAATGCGTTGACAACGTTGTCTGTTATGGAGAGAGGGTGTTCAGGTTTCTCCAGGAACCCAAATTCAAATGGAGAAACCCATGCTGTGTAGAACACTAGAAATACCAGAAATGTCTCCCAGCTTCTGCAAAATTAGAGGTTGCCTTACCTGTTAGAGCATTTCCATCCCTTGAAATAACAAATTAATCAAATTTATAAGCAGAAAAGGTATCATCATTTGAAGCCAAGAGTTTCAATTATAATTTAAGCCTTCTGAGAGAGGAAAGAGAAACCTTAATTTAAAGTCATCAAATGTCAATAGAAGAAAATGTCAGGTGAAAGTGATACATTACTTCTGCAAGTTAAGCAAAAGGAAAACAATCAATTCTGAAAAAAATTTATGACAATGAGACAAAATCTAGTTGCAAAATGTGAATTCAGGTGGAAAAGGAAAAGGAGATGATGAAATATTGGATCATTTTAATGGCTTTCAGTTATTATTTTCATTTGTTTCGTACCTCGAAAAGTAATTAAGAAAAGAAAGAAACAAAAGCAATGCAACTTGTGCATGGATACAGAAGGGAGGGGGAGAAAGGGAAATGCAAATGTAGTACCTATAGCGGGGATCAAAAGGGGAGAGAATGAAGCGACGAAGCTTGACCTTGCGGTTACTACGATAAGGGCCAAGAGAAGGCAAAACGCCTACGCTGAGGCTATATTGGCTACCTTCCTTTGACAATGAACGTCGATCACCTACCACTTCTCTCTTACATGACCCACCTTCTTCTTCTTCTCCTCCTCTTGTTCCACAAAACAACACTCTTTTCTTCTTACTCGGCATAGCTTCAACAATATCCGCTGCCCTTTCTCTCTTTTGCCTTTTCCGTCCACAAGTCTTGCTTTCTGAATCGTGGTTTTCCTCTCTCCAAGTTCCCACCAATGGTGATTCTGAAATCACGCGCCAAGAAGGACTTCCGGATGGTTTATATAAGGAGCGGTTCAAGTAACTTTGAAGCCACTTGTTTCGTTGCTACTTTGGTTGATAATTTAACAACTATTATTACCGTACTTAAAAGAAGAACAAGGTCCAAGGTTCGAGTTACAGGTCCTCCTAAAACCTCCTCAGATGTAGTTAGGTACTAACAAGATCTCTGGAAGCTGCTCACTAGGCTCCTTTTACGTAACTCGCTAGTCGCGGGCCTTCGTTTTTTGTGTGTGTACTTGGTACGTTTCCGGGGTATTCCTACCTTACTTTCCGCTGTCCTTTGCCTTGTATTCGCTGTTCCCAGTATTTCTTGGTGTTATTTACGGATTGCGTGCCGTTGCTAAATTCATGGTTTGTTAAGGGGAAAAACAGAATTGGCCAGCTAGGTTTTCAAAGTAAACAAGTTTTTTAATTTTGCACAGAATATTTAGGATTTTAGATTCAATCTCTTCAAATTCAGTTCATCAAGTCTACAAAAGTCATATATCTTTGATTCTTTCCTTCTTTGTTTTTTCCATGAACATAATTTTATTGAATATAATCTTAGTACAATTTATTTAGTTGCCCTCTGGGCATTTAGTTTATTAATTCGTGCATGATTCCCTATCTAAAGAGTCAAATTCAAATCCTCTCTTTCTAATTGTAAAAAAAAATTATTTAATTAATATTATTATACAATATTTTTAATTTCTTTTTTATATTGAAATAGTTCCCAATGCAAATTTTTTGTTAAAGTTTTATTAATTAAATATCACCAAATATATAAGAGAAGGGGACATGTCCCTTACCTCTAGAAATACAAGGGATGGAGTACGAAGAAATTTGAAAGGAAATACTACTTCCTTAGCGTAATAAGTAGTACATGATAAATTAGATAAAGCAACAAAAGAAAATAAAATAAGGAGTGCTACTCCTTTGTACATGCCTAAGCCAAACATAAGGAATGCTAAATCTATCAAGTTGTAAAATTCCTTTTAACTCGTACTCTGCTTGATGAAAAAGGTTAAGCCCATGATAAATAAAAAATTTGCAACTCTATTACCTTCTCGATGAATGTGGGAAATTCGAAAAGTAATTGTTTGCAAACACTTTTTGATTGATGCTAAAATATAATGAGTATCAGTTGAACCAAGACTCCTATCTTGTATCATTTGCACAACAAGCATTTCATCCATCTCAATCCATAGATTAGTAATATTATATGCAAAACATAATTTGTGTCCTCTATCTAAAGCTAATAATTTAGCTTTTAGAGAATGAAGAGAATCAAATTTTCTAAGAAGCCAAATATCATTTTACTTGTGCTATCGCATACAAGACCTCCTCTTGTTGCATTTTGAAAGTCATCTTTCAAAATGCCATCAACATTTAGCTTAAACTTATTGAGTTTCGGTTTTAATCATTTAATAATTGAAAAGGAATAGCTTTTGATGCTTGAAAATTCAAAGCCCTATAATTGAGCAATTTGTTTTGTCTCTTTTCCACTGTCGAACCTCCAATAAATTATACCTAGGTGAAGTTAAGTCAAAAGTCTCATTATTTTCCATATGACTCTATGAGGATAGACACCTAATTGCTTATATTTTTCATCATTGCGCTCCACCCATAAGTACCAACAAATGAAAATATGCAAAAACAATCAAATATTCCCCTTTTTGGTATGGTCTCCTGAGTTGTACCATGCCCATACGATTTGCAAAACACTATTAAGTTGCGTAATAGTTATTTGAAACAAACAAACAAAATAGTTCCAAACTTCTCTTGCAACTGAACCTTGTCAAAAAACATGCAACAAAGTTTCCTCTGCATGATAGCATTAGCACCTAGAAGCCAAGTTAAACCCTTTTTTCTTTAATCGGACATCAACAGGAATGCATTCATGCAATAATCTCCACACAAAGAATGAGATATTAAGAGGAATACTTTTATGCCATATAAAATTAAATATGGGACTTACAGATTGTGTCTAGCGAATTTTCTCCCATGCGCTTTTGGTTGTAAATGCACCATCAGGCTCAATAGGAACTTGAAGAATTTGTTCAATCACATCAGGGAGATAGTTTTGCAATTTCTTTATACTCTAAGTATCATTATTGAAAAATAATGGACTTTGGGCATGAAGCCGAATGTGATGGAAATAAATTGATCAAGGGTTCATTACCCATCCAACAATCATGCCAGAAATATAGATTACCTTGGCCAATCTTCCATTTAATTTCTGTCTCTGTCAAAGATCCGTATTGCTTCAAACGTTCCCATAAAGGAGAATCATGGATATTAATGACAACTTGCATAGGTATTTGTCCTCCACAATATTTAGTATGCATGAAATTAGCCCATAAGCTTTCTGAAGTTCGAAACCTCCACCATAATTTATAATTGAAGGCTCCAAATATATCTGATAATCTTCTGATATCAAGGCCACCTTCTTTAGAAGGAAAGCACACTTTATGCCATGATGACTAGTGTACATGCTTAGAAGAAGAATCATCACTCCACAGAAAACTATTAAACATCCTCTCAAGTTTCTCAATAACACACTGATGAGGTTTAAGGACCTGCAATAAATAAAAAGGCATAGAATTAAGAACACTTCTCAATAAAGTAATTCTGCCACCATGGGATATTATTTTATTTTCCCAACCAGAGATTCCATCCCTTATTTTAGAAATTACAGATCAAATAAGCACGATTTCTTATGGCCTTTATAAAGAGAGGCACCTAAATAAATTATTGGAAGTTCTTTATGAATAAAGCCTGTTGCCAATTTGATGATTTGAATCCTTGCAGAAGAATTATTTTTGCCAACAATGAAGCAACTTTTATTTTGATTCACCATCTGCCCAGAAACTTGTTCGTATTCTTTCAGAAACTCCATAATCTTCTTCAAAGCAGGCTAATTACCATTTGTAAAAATGATAACATCATCTACAAAGGATAAGTGACTAATTACCATTGAACATCCAGAAGAGTAATGAAAAGAGGTATATCGACTAAAAATATTGTTCAGTCTTCTAGAAAGGTATTATGCAGCAAGTATAAAAAAAGAAGGAGAGATGGAGTCCCCTTGCTGCAAGTCTTTGCCAGATTTGAAGTATCCCACTGACGTTCCATTTATCAACAGCGAAAACCAGCAATTTGAGATACAACAACGAATCATATCTATCCAAAGCTCAAAGAAGCCAAAATGCTGCAACATATAATAGATAAACTTTCAATTAATTCTATCATATGCCTTCATCATGTCAAGCTTCAATATTGCATTACCTCCCCTGGATTTATGGTCAATTCGATGCATGAGCTCCTAAGCTAGCAAGATGTTATCACTTATTAACCTTCTAGCAGTAAAACCACTTTGCTTTTCATAATTAATCGAGGTAGCAAAGAAGAAAGTCTATTTACAAGAATCTTTGTGACTATTTTTATTAAAATAGTACATAAACTGATGGGACAAAAATCACTCCATTGAATTGGATTCTCAACTTTAGGAAGCAAGACTAGAGTAATTGAAGTTGCACCCTAGAAAAAATCATTAACTGCATTCAACAAGTCATTTGCAATGATATCCCAACAATATTGATAAAAAAAAGTGATGAAAAACCATCGGGACTGGCTACACTCTTTTTCACCAATATCGAATGCCATTTGCTTCACTTCCTGAAATGCAGGAGCTCCACATAAAAGTTCATTATCTACATCAGAGACTAGAGAGGGGACTAAGGGATCATTAAATAATGAAAAATCATTATTTCTAGGTTTCAAAAGGTTAGAAAAAATTCTATAGTCGAATTTTGAATAATCGATGGAACCTCTATCATGTTCCCATCATTATCTTTAATCTAGAAAATATGATTCCTTATTCTCTTTTTTCTTATCATAGTGTGAAAGAATTTTGTATAAATGTCTTTAGAGGCGAAAGGAGAGGGGTGTCGATTAGTTTTTAATTTTTTTATTTATTTTTATATGTATAAATATCAAAAATTTTATTTTTATATGTATAAATGTAAAACAAAAAACACTTTGTCACCCCTAAATAAATTAAAATAGTTGATTTGGAGTAGTGGTGATTAACTTAATCTAAATTTTGAATGCCTAGGTTCAATCCCTTTTAAGTCCAAACTTTGAAATTATTTTTCCTTTTTTCCTTTTTTTCCTTAGCTCAAATTTGGAAATTATTTTTCCCTTTTTTTCTTTTTTTCCTTAGCTCATCTAGCCCAAGTTTTGGAATTATTTTTCTTTTATTTTTTTCTTTTTTTTTCTTTAACTCATTTTCTAATCCTAAATATAGATTTAATTATTTAAGATTGATGACATTGAACTTGATATTATGTGAGATCCATGTTTTTTTTTCTTTAACTCATCTTTTGATCCTAATGATGGATTTAATTATTCAAGATTGATGACATTAAACTTGATATTATGCAAAATCCGCAAAGTGTTTCAACTTTCTCAAAGCTATGCCAATTAATGTTAAAGGCAAAAAAAAAATCAATTGTATACTTTCTCTTAAATCATTTAATTTTATATTTTCTCTTAAATCATTTAATTGCATATGAAATATGAATTGGAGCAATTTAAACTTTATATTAGGCTAAATCCATGTTTGCAAAGTATTTTAACTCTCTCAGAGCAATGCCATTTAATATCAAAGATAGAAAAATCAATTATATATCTTTTTCTAGATCGATTGATTTGACTTATCTTAACTCTTCTAGTTTCTATAACAATTACAAAATGTACATTTTCAATTAAGAAAATTGTAAAGACGAGATTGCATAATAAAATAAATGATGATTTTTTTGCTAATTCAATTATCCTTTACATTAAGAGAACGATTGTCAGGATCATTGACACGGATTTAGTTATAGATGAATTTGAAGACATGAAAACACATCGAGCACAACTTACGATGCCTAATGTGAAAATCTAATATTAATTTTTCTTTCAACTTTATATCTA